AAATAAGTAAATAAAAAATAAAAAACAAAACAAACCCAACTAGCATAGAGGTTAAGGGAATGGGGGTAGGGCATGCTCAATATATGATATGTGGGTATAAAAACATTTTAAAAATGAAGAAAGCAAAACGAAATGACAACAGAAGAATTGCCAGTTGGAGAATCCAAATTCAAATGCCAGCTGCACGCCTGTGAGCCTGGTGACCAGGAGGCTGAGGCAGGAAGACCTAGAGTTTGAGTATAGCCTGAGCTAAAAGAGAGACCATGTACAATAAACAAAACAAATTAAACAGAAATACAAAAAGAACTAAAGATCCTGTGCTTCAAGCTTCCTCTTCTTCTTTAATGATAGTTAATTTTTTATTTTATGTGTATGACTGTTTTGCCCGCATGCATGTATGTGCACCTTGTGCCCACAGAGGTCAGAAGTGGGAGTTATAGGCAGTCATGAGCCACCATGTGGGTGCTGAGAATCAAACCTGGATTATCTGCAAGAGCAGCCAGTGCGCCTAACCACTGAGCTACCCCACCAGCCCTGGCTTCCTCTTCTTTCTCACATTCCTGTAAAAAGACATGGACATGGGAGTTGCTGCAGCAGCCTTGCAAGGAGAAGCCTTGACATAAAATCTATAAGGACAGAAACATGCAGGAGGCCGTGTACACAGGGAGCAGGACACTTAGCGATCCGAGAGCTCCACCACTGGTCCTATTTATTCTTCTCACACACTCAGAAATGAAGCTGCTGACAAAATGCCTCTGTCCTGGGATGAAGAGAGAGCCTTCCTGTGCAGCAGGAGCAGGCTGTGGGAACAGACATGCCAGAATTTACTGGGATGTAGCGTCCACACAGAGCTGCATGAGATTTTTGTTTTGTTTTGTTTCATGGTGCATCTGGGCATTGCTATCTGAGAACTGTATTCCCTTCCTTCCTGTTTCAAGGAAGTGGCTTGCAGGCTTCACTGATGTGGGGCCAGGCAGACTGGTCCCTCACTCGCTGGGTTGTGAGTTTTGGCTGACGAGAAGGAAGAGGAAGCCGGTGTCTCTGATCATCTGTGTCTTGCTTCCTTTCTGTTATGAACAGAGGAGGCTGGATTCTACAATTGACTAGTCCAAAATCTGATAAAATCCCAACCCATGGGGGCTGGAGAGATGGCTCTGCAGTTAAGAGCACTGGCTGCCCCTGTAGAGGACCTGGGCTTGTTTCTCAGCATGTATACGTTGACTCACAACCATCTGTAACTCCATTTCTAGGGGATCTGATGCCCTCTCTGGCCTTTCCAAGCATATGCATGAGGTATACATAAATACCTGCAGGCAAACACTCATGCATATAAAATACCATACCTATGGACTTTTTCCTCTGAGAGAATGTTACCCACCAACTCTCCAAGGACCCAAACAGCCCCCACCCCCAAGACCTTTCTGTTGGACTAATGATAGCATCAGGTCTAAGGTATATGGTGATCTCTCAGACATGTGAGGGTGCACACACGTGTGTGTGTGCGCCTGCATCCTTTCTTTTTTTCCCTGCAACGTCCGAGAAGTCAACTGAGGCCAAGCAGGTTTAGAACTCTGGCTAAAACCCACCTTATTGAGGATGACCACTTCTTACCAGATGACCACTTCTCTGTTCCTGGCAGCCCCCTCTCCTCAGCTAGCTAAAACAATAATTACCCAACCCTGAGAGTTACCTGTATGGGTGTGGAGATGGCCTTACTTCCCAGGGAAGGTACACTGCTTATGAGTATAAGGTGTGATGAACTGTCACCAGGTATATTTCATTTCTGTGATTACACTCTGTGTACATGGATGGACTCAGGGCTGCAGAGAATGTACATTTGTAACTGTGGGAATGAGGTTACCTGTAAGGCAGAAGGCGCTGAAAACAGCACACCGTGTATCCAATTAACCATTCAAGACAGGGCATGTTGATGTCTCTATCAGGAGAGAAGTATGTGGTCAGGAAGCCAAGGCACTGGGGTGGGTTGGTAGAAGGAGGTTGTTTCTTCCCATTAGTTTGCAGTTGGTCTCTAGTTAGAAGATATGTGAAAGGAAGCCAATATAGAGTTAAGAACTGAGGGGCTGGGAAGCTAGCTCAGTGGGTAAGAGCACTTGGTACACCAGCATGACGGCCTGAGTTTGAATCTCCAGCACCCGCTTAAAAAGCCTGTAATCCCAGGGCTGTGGGTGCCATAGACAGAAACAGGGCTAGCTGATAGCCTAGCTCCAGATTCAACCTGACTCAAGAAACGAGGTGGAGTGATATAGCAGGACATTTGACCTCTTCTGGTTTCCAGATGTGCTCCTGGGTACAGGCTGCTGTGTACTCGTGTATGCATACACTCTCTCATTCACACAAGAACAGGTAGATGCTGTATTGCTCTGTGAGTGTTGACAGGTGGCCTCCAGAAATGACTTTTCTCTAGAATGATGTGTATTTAACCCAATGGGATATCATTTGGAGAAAGCCCTGCCTTTGAAAATATTCAACTCCCTTGTAATTCTTCCTTTCCCAACATTACTCCCATCATTCCTGGCATCAGTGTGTCTAGTCTTGGTATGGCCCTTGTACCCTGTGAATCAAGAAAATACTTCTATGGAGGTTTCCATGTAGGATGGGCCATTCTAAGCCTGGGGCTCTCTGCTTGCAGATTAATAAACCATTGTGGTATCTTTGGAGGACTTTGCTATTGTAACTCATTCTCCTAGAACCTGGTCACTTCTGGTCACTGGAACACTACATTGTTGGACCAGAGTTTGGAGCAGTGCTCCTGTGGGCAAGGCACTGGCAACTTCTGTGTGATACCTTCCTGTCTTGGACAAGGCGCATGGGATTCCTAAACCCAAGGTTGGCTTAGGCTAGACTCTGAAGTAGTAATTCTTGCTCATTCTAGAACCCCGAGAACACTTTTGGACCAGATTGCTCTTTGTGGCAGAAGCCTGTCCTGTATATTATGGATATAGCAGCATCTCTAACCTCTACCCTGGATAGGAGTGTCACCTTGCATTGTAGCTATGACAACCAGAAATGATGCTAAATGCTGTCAAACATATGCTAGGAGACAAAACTACCTGGGCTGAGAACCAGTCCTCTTGGAGCTAAGAAGGGACAGAGAGCTTCCCAGAGGAACATGGCATAATCCTGCACACTGGAGTGACTGAATGCTTCTGTCCTGTATCTCTATGCTGGTGTGTCGCTTCACAGTGTGCTGGCCACATGAGCCCACAAGGTTCATATAGTACAACACTTCTCAAACTCAATTCAACTGGGCGTCTTAGAACTGAGAATTGGATTTATTAGGTCTGGGGTAGTGCCTGAGGCTATGCAGCCCTAACTAGCTGCCAATCAATGTTGACACTACTGGACAGTAAGAATGCAGGCCAGGCATCTACACGATACAGTCCCTGGACCAACTTGAGATCACCATGGTTTTTGTACCTTCCTTCCTTCCTTCCTTCCTTCCTTCCTTCCTTCCTTCCCTCCTCTTTAAAAATCTTACTGATGTGTATGTTTGTGTGGGTACTTGCATGTGAGTGCAGGTACCTGAGGGAGCCAGACAAGGGTATTAGATTCCTTGAAGCCAGAGGTGCAGGTGGTTGTGAGTTGCCCGACATGTGTGCTGGGAAGCAAACCCAAGTCCACTGTAAGAGCAGTAGGTGCCGAATGAAGATTGCAGGTAAATGCATGGAAAGATGAAAGAGCTCAGTGCCCCTGGGAATGATAGACAACCTGGCATTGCAGGAGCATTGGGTGAGCTTGAATCTGCCTGTAGGTATGTGGCCTGAGGAGGAGGCTCCATAGGAACTGAGGTCAGAGTCATAGAATTGCCTGTTATTAAAGTGAGTGGAGACTGGCCATGGGCTTGGGCTGCCGCCCGTGATCACATCTGTGTTGTGGAAACACACCTTGGCTGGTGTGTGGGTACTCACTTGAGCCAGGAGAAAGAGTCATCCACAAGAGCATGTGGGAGACTGTTGCCACACTCAGCCGTGAGTGACATGGCCTGCAGCATGGAGCATTGGTGAGGACAGGTGGGAGGGGATGGATCTGAACTAGTTGCTTCTTTCTCTTCCTGGATCCTGGGGGGTCCTTAAATATACTGTAGATCCCGGAAGTGAGGAGTGGGCCAGTGGCCTGGTCTCCCACTGTTTGCCTGAACGACGTGGCCTGCTGTGGCTCAGAGGCTGGGGAGGGGAGTCCTGTCCATCCCTGTGTCTGTGCCTCCCCCACAGCCCCACCCCAGCAGACAGCCTCCTTTCTGAGCCCCTTATCTTCCACTCTTCATTCTGACATTCTAAGCTTTTTTTTTTTTTTTTTTTTTTTTTTTTTTTTTTGGCATTAAAAAAGATCAGGTATTTTTTCAGGGGTGTTTGCCTACCACTGTGCCTGAATAACCTTACTGTTGTTCTTAACCTCTCTCTCTCACGTCTGCACGCTGAGGTCCCCCCATTCTTATCCTAATCCCTAACACCTCATTGATCCAGGAGCAGACTGAGCTCCCAAGTCTTTATGGGTATTTTAGAAGTGGACACACAGTGGCAGCTGTGGGATGGGCATCGCTGACCCATTGCCAAGGGTGGCATATTTTGACCCAAGGGACGAGGCACCTGATCAAAGTACATGCATGTCGTCGTCAGTGGTGCGGGCTTCCAGAAAAGAACAGGAGCAGAGCAGTCCCTGAGGTAATGATGTGGCTCTAATTGACCATTCCTCAAAGATGAACCAGGAAGAAGGCAGTGATGCTTATGAGGAATGGCCTGAGGGAGGGTTGCAGTGGGGCTGAGAAAAGTCAGGAAAAACACGTAATAAAGTGTTACTGCCTCTTGAAAACCAGGTGCCTGACCTGATCAAAGGACAAAACCCAGATCTTTGTGGCTCCCTGCCTGGGAAAGGTGGCTTCCTTTGGGACCCTGGCTCTTTGTTTCTGAGCACAGGCTGCTGGAAACACAACTCCAGGAAAGCAGACTGTGTCTCATTGCTCTCTTTATGTCTCCAAACAGGAGAAGAGAGGGAGGGAGCCACACTCATCCAGAAGTGTCCAGCTCTCCTCCCGATGACATATGAGGCTGCCCCTCAGCCCCAGCCAGAGGCCGCGGAGCCCTTGGAGATGGCTTTGCTCAGCAGTGTCCTGGCAGCCTGTTCCTATATCTCAGGTGGGTGCTGGAGTCTGCTGGCCAGGGCTGTGACCTGGTACTGAGTCCAGGGCTGCTTCCTGCTGGCCAGGTCTGGTCTTGTGCTGGGAGAGAAGTGAGTGTGGCCATCACAGGGAGGATCTTCTCCAGATGAAAGTTCTTCAGCCTCTTATTTAGTGTGATATTCTCTAATTTGGCAGGTGAACACCCCCAACAGCCTTGTCTTTCTGGAGAAATGCTTAGTTACTTTTCTGCCACGGCTGCTGCTGGTTTCTATACTCAGCACAGCAACCAATAAGTTACTGAGGAGTTCAGAAGACTGAGGATTTCTGTAGGTTTTCTACCCCATATGGGATTTCTTTGTCTATGAGTGTTATGTAGGTGTGTGTCTGTATTTTTTGCTGTGTGTGTGTGTGTGTGTGTGTGTGTGTGTGTGTGTGTGTGTGTGTGTGTGTGTGTGTTAATGTATGTATGTGTAAAGAGTGTGTGTGTGCATGTGTGTGTAAGAAAGAGTGTGTGTGCATGTGTGTAAGAAAGAGTGTGTGTGCATGTGTGTAAGAAAGAGAGAGAGAGAGTGGTGTGTCTGTTTCAGGGGCTATCTGAGGTGTTTAAGAGCCTTCTGGAGAAGAGGTAGACAGAAGGTATGTGACTCTCAGAGACCTGATATTAACCTCTTTTTGATTCTAAGTCATGTTCTTCAGCTAGATGGCTGACTTCCCCCCTTTTTTTTTCTGGAGACCAGACATTGTTCATATAAAAGGTACTATTTAATAACACATGGATATGATCAGATGTGTGCTGCTGGAGTGAGTGTTTTAATCTTTCATGTTTTGATAACTTGCTTGTATTTTGTTTTGTTTTGCCTGGAGTTGTGTAGACACTGTATGAAGATGGGGCTGATGTTTTGATTCGACTGTCTTTAGGAGAAGGGTTTTATTTTTTAGCCAGGGTTCATATTGGTAACTTAAGAATTCAAATGTAAAACCCAAGGCTTCTATTTACAATGACTCCGCCACTTAAGGGAACTTCTGAGGGCTAACACTGGCTCAGTTGTGGTTGGCACGATGGGGATGTCTTAGTTACTTTCTTGCTGCTCTGACAAAACACCCCGACAAAAGCAACTTAAGAGAGAAAGGATGTGTGGTAACTTATAGTTCAAGGCTCCAGCCCAGCATGTTGGGAAAGTCAAGGCAATGGGAACTTGAAGCAGCTGACTACATTATCTCAAACCAGGAACAGAAAGCAGGTTGTGCAGGGGTTACTTGGGTAATGTTCTCTGTTTACATAGCCAAGATCCTCTGCTCTGCCTAGGGGATGGGTCCACCTTTCCCAATTAAGATTGATTTTCTCACATTAACTAACATAATAAATACAATCTCCCAAAGGACATGAAGTTGGCAGGGGGTAAGGGTGAGCCCAGGAGGAGCTGGGTGAGGAGGGTGGGTGGATATGATCAAAATATGTTGTATGCAAGTATGAAATTCTCAAAGGGTTAATTAAAATATGTTTTTTAAAAAGATAATCTCTCACAGACACTCTCAGAGTCTAGCCTTAGTCTGGACAGTCCCTCATAGGTGTACCAAAGTCTGTCAAGTTGGCCATCAACACTGACCATTACAGGACATCTAGTCCATGGGTGGGTGCCATGCATCCTGGTTTTTCTTTCACGATGCAGAGAATCCAACTCCCAGTTAAGGACTTCTGATACCTACTGCCTCCTTCCTGGGCATCCACACATCAGAGACTTCACTCCTTTTTTATTTGTCTTTTTTTATGGACACAGCCTCACAGTCTTCAAATGACCCATGCGCTTCTGCCACCACATGTGGTTTATGCTGGATTCTGAACCCAGGGCTTCATGCAGGTTAAGCTAGCGCTCTACACACTGAGCTACACTTCCAGACCCTTGGCTGTTTATTTGAGTTGCATTGGGGATAAAAGACACCAGATTTGGAGTAGGGAAGTTTGGGGCTGTGACAACATGTTTGCATGGTGACCTGAGGAGGGCGAGCTAACTCTTTCCTGAATACTTCCCCACAGTGGCGCTGTGGGCAGCAGGAGGGTCTGGGATTTCCACAATTTCAAGAATACCTGCACACCAGCTCTTGGATAAGAATGCCTCTGATGAGAGCAAACAGCACTGGACTTTGGCTCTCTCCTCAGCACAGGAGGCACTTGGCGAGTTTCCATTTTGACCGGCCTGACCCTGAGTTGTGACCACTGAATGTGGTAATTCATTGAATTGGCTGCTGTTTACTGGGTGTCTTGTGATCTCGTTGAGGCGGAAAATGCCCATGGCCCCACTTTTCTGTCTCCTCCAACTTCCTTTTTCCTACCTCATTACACTGGAATTCATTATTATGTGGGATACAGTAAAACTTCTCCTTCTTTTAAGAAGGCATGTGGGAGGGAAGATGCTGAGCAGAGGGCTCAGCAGGTGAAGACACGTGCTACCAAGCCTGACAGCCTGAATTTGCATCCCAGGATCCACATGGTGGAAAGACAGAACCAACTCCAGGAAGTTGTCCTCTGACCTCCACATTCATGCCATGGCACAAGTATCCCCCCACCCCCCAAAAATTAAATACGTGTGAGCATTGTTTTTAATTAAATGAGCATGGGCTAAGATTTAAAGTGAATGCCAGAAAATGGAAACATGGGTATCTAAAATAAAATTTCCTATGTGTAATAAAAGACAATGATTAAAATTGATTCTGAGTGGCTAAACAGATGGTTTAGCAGTGAAGAGTGAATACTACTCTTGTAGAGGAACTCCCCAAGTTCAGCTCCCCACACCCACACTTGACAGCTCATACCCTCCTGTAACTTCAGCACTAAGAGATCTTGTACCATCTTCTGGCCTCCAGGGGCACCTGCACGCAGGTGCACATACCCACACACAAATGCATACATACATAATTTTTCTATTGTAAAATCAGGGAGACTCCTCAATTATAATGACAATGAAAAAGAAGTGTTAAAACACAAAGATGAATACAATAAGTTAAAAATATTTACTGTCCTTAAATAAACTGTAGTAATAGATTAGAAACAAAGATAAAAAGCATGGCAGGAGAGACGACTTATGGGAATATCTTGATCGTGCGTTGCTCTCTCCCATGCCCTTTCTCTTCTATCTGGTCATTAGTTTCAGTGGGACCCAGCATCTCCAGCTTACTCTCAGTGCTTCATTTGTGGACTGGTTGATCTTCATTATCAACCTGAACGGATGAAGAGGTGCCTACACTTTGACACATGTCTGGGTTTGTCTAATAGGCTTTTTGAAGATTGACACCTAACAGTGAACCAAGTCAGGAAGACTCATCGTGAATGTGGGTATCTCCGTTCATAGACTGAGGGTCTAAGTAGAACAAAAACGAGGAAGAAGGGGGAAACTTGTACACAGGTGGTGTCTTAGTGTTGTTTTCTGCTGCTGTGATTAAAATCCTGACAAAAACAACCCAGGTGAGACAGAAAGGGTTCACTTTTGCTCACAATTCCATGTTAGAATAGAGTGAAGATGGCTTAAATTTGAAGGGACTAGTCATATCCACAGTCAAGAGCAAAGAGAATGGATGTGTGCATGGTTGTACTTGGCTCACTCAATTCACTCTTATACAGTATAGGAGCCCCTACATAGGGAATGGTGCTGCCCATGGTGGCCTGAGTCTTCTCACCTTGATTAACTCAATCTAGACAGTTTCTCACAGACTTGCAAACAGGCCAACTGGATCCATACAACCATTGAGATTCTCTCCCCCATAAGATTCAAGACTGTGTTAATTTGGTAATTATAGCTAACTGTCACAGGTAGGTGTGAGTCTTCCTGAGAGGCATTTTTTTTCTTTTTCTTTTTTCTTTTTTTTTGGCTTCTGGCATTGATCATTGACATCAGATTCCAGGATAGTCCATCTTTCTATGGGGACTTCTACCAGCATTAAACCCTCCAGTCCTTCAGCCTGCATTACTGGTCCCTCTGGGGCTTGTAGCTGCTCCAACAACTGAGCAGTAGTTGGCTTCCGCAGTTCTCCAGCCTGCAGTCTGTGGGAGTCTGTAACCTCTGATCTTGAGTCTAACAAGTTCTACCCCTCTTATTCATTCTGTTCCTTAGAAGAATCCTGACGAATACAAGTTACCTCTTGTCCAAAACATGAAGCCCATTTCTTTAGCAACACACTTGCTACTTCTAATGCATACAATTGTCTTAGTTCTTCGTCCGATGAATCTCCTCTCTCTGTGTCTGTCTGTCTGTATGTCTCTGTCTGTCTGTCTGTTTCTCTCTCTCTCTCTCTCTCTCTCTCTCTCTCTCTCTCTCTCTCTCTCTCTGTGTGTGTGTGTGTGTGTGTGTGTGTGTGTGTTAGGGGTCATATGAGGTTTTTGAACCTTCCAGGAGAAAGGGAGATGGAAGGTTGTGTAAATCTGGGAGTCCCCTATGTTTGTCTTTTCCTCAGCTCAAAGTTGTGCTTTTCTGCAAGATAACTGACTTCTTGAGCTTGTTTCTGTAGACCAGTCATTTTTATACAGAGGCAGCTTTTTGATTACATATGGAAGCCCTACTGCCCACTTGAGTGAGTTTTTAATCTTTTGGTAGCTGGTTGTTGTTTTGTTAGCTGACATTTGTGGATGGCGTTTGAAGAGGAAGGGACTGGGTTTTTGATTAAGTTTCCTTTGAAGAAGGACTGGCTTTACTTTTTTATTCTCTAGAAAGGGTTGATATGTGTGTGTGAAGGTGGAAGCCAGCAGACCCATGTGGCCTCTGATCCCAGCTGAGCATGTAACATGGTACTGTGGTCTTCCCATTTTCTCCTGGACATGTCTTGTGCAGTGTAGTGCGATGTGAATCTTTTATCATAGCTGTTGTAAAATTTTACCATTCTTCACAACAGCCACCCTCAACATTAACCATTGCAATAATTAGCAGAATCAGTCAAACAAAATCCTCCCTGAAAAGAAATGATAAACAGCATAGCCTAGGCTGGCCCCTAACTCATGGCAATGCCCCTGCCTCAGCTTCACAAGTC